AAAGCACTAGGCTGTTCGTTTTAGATGCGATCACACGCATGCCAGCTCCGTCGCACTCAAATGCGAACCTTTCCAAAGACCGCTGTAGATTAATTTCAGATGTCACAAAACAAAGTCGTCTGCAAATACCCACCTTCTCTTATCGACAACTCCTACGCTGATACACTCATCGCCCTGGCTGTGACTGGCTGACTATCCTATCTAGATGAAACACAAAGAATGGAGTAGACAGAAAGCAGCATTGGCGGAGACCAGTGCCGACACTGAAAGGTCTGGACATAGCGCCATTTACTGTGACGCAGTACCTGCTATCCGCATGCAGTGATTATCAGCATATAGGCACACCCATTGACTGTTGTGGGGGAACAGGTCACTGACTCTCTCTAGGTCCACAAACCACGCATACACCGGATGAGCGAAATCTCACGATTCTCAACAATCTAGCGTAGGCGAATATTTAGTCAAATATGCTACGGCCATACCTGAAGCCAGGCACTTCTCGTATTTTGGAGTCAGTTGTTCCGTAGCATATCTTTTCTAGCACCTTTGTGCAGATATTACCCAAAGGAGGTTCAATAGGGTAATGCCCGATAATTGTAGCACTCTCTGTAATCTTCCTTCTTCAACAGGCCTACTACAACCTTCAAGATTAACTCGCCAAGATTAATCTGAGGCAAATATATGGAGGCAGTCTGAGCTAGACTCTGGCTGTCTTCTGCCGAAGATCAGACTCTGTCATACGATCGGGAACATTGGAAGCACTGTCTGACGAGTCTGCTTCCGCGACTCGAAACGAGAAGCGGTCATGGAAGATCATGATGATGAAGAAAATTCGCATCTGGCAGATGTACTGCACGACAGGCACAGAGCAAGACTGTTATGGAAAGGAAGAGCTTGGTTGTTTGGAATGCTATTCTCCATACGAACGCTGTGTGACAGCTGATTCAATCACGCACAGTGCTTAATGGTTTAAAGGAAAGTCACTTAGTCCTAGAAGAAGCAAGAGTGACTCTATGATTGCACCGGAAATCTGAAAATACAGCCATTGTTGCGTAAGTATTCATCTGTGTACTGGGAGGCATGCACATAAAGACGAAGCTCTTGATCACCACTCAGGGAGCACGTAATGACTTAAGCTTTTTCGCAAGAGAAAAATGCCCTTAGACTGAGTATTCGTCATTCGCAGCGGTTGGAGTATGTGCAGAGCCAAAAGGCGAGCTTACGGTCCGTGCCGCTGGTTAAATAGGCTCATCTAATCCGCGAAGAGTTCGCTTTCGTTGTTCCGGTTCACGCTGTCGCAGGGCTGGATGATTAATGAAGGACATGCGTCAAATTCCGATAGTCAGAGTGCACCCTTATCATCAGAGAAAGACCGTAGCTGAACAAGCGCGTCAAGGATGAATCAATAATCCAGCCCCTACGACAACGTCAACTGGGAAAAGATACGAACCCTGCGCGGTGTGGATGAGCCTTGTTGCCCTATCACCAAGAAACTACTGAACCAGTAACATGGACCAAATGCTTGCCTTCTGGCTCCACACCGGCCAACCGCTACGAAATTCTTTCCAAGTCAGTCATCCAACTTCGTTACCTTCAATAAGGCCCGTAAGACTCCGGTCGAAAAGTTAGTACTGGTCAATCATCTGTGCGTAAATAAACCATGTTATACGCCGTTTTCAAAAAGATGTCTCGCAACACAGATTTAGTACAAACAGAACATGATGGTGCTACATGAAGTCATTTTACAGGGATATTCCCGAGTACCTGATTGCCATACTTTCAGCACTGGTTGACAACAGTTACATGGGGTTCTAATAGAAAGATCGGTGACTGTCTGGTTTCTGGCGTTATGCATCAGGCAAGACCATTCATGTTTTCTTCAGATTAAGTAAGAGCTCATTAATAAAAAGTAACGGCAGAAGACGGCTATGTTTTTCATGTGGTTTTTCCAGTCCATACGACACGAAAGCTTGCCAGATGGTTCGAAACCTAATCGCTGTAGAATGCAGCAGTAACAGCACCATTCTGAAGAAGGACCGATAGTTATCCTAGTTCACTGCGATATATGCATAACTTAATCAACCAATAACTTGACTGTGTAAAACAAACCCGTGTTGCATGACGATTTGGGTAAACCAAATCATGAGAATTTGTCTGCCAACACAGATTCGAATCGGTGATAATCCATAACTATTATGAAGAAAAAATCTGTTGCTTTTTGGTGCGACATTTACTTAGCTACGTGACAGCTTTTCTCTGGAAATCTATGCAACAAAAAATACAAACCGGAGACGCTCTGATTACCCAAACAGTTGCAGACGAGTTGCAAACAGACATTTCCCCAGACTTTGGATCGCTGGGTCGACCAAAACAATCGATTGCAACCATTAAAATACAGCCATCACATCGACATAAACGGTGAAAAAAATCCGTAAAAAGAGACGAAACATCAGTTAGCTTTATGGAGTCAGTAGCAGGAGCACTCTGTTGATTGACAACCATGTTTTGCCGGGTGATAACCAACGTAAGAGCATATTACGTGACAAAAAATCTTTTTATATATAAGAGCATATACGTGACAAAAAAACTTTTTATATTTTTTTTCAGTTATTTTCGTAAACAAATGCAACGATCTTTCCTATACGGAGATAGCACACC